GCACTGGATGCAGTTGTAACATGAAGTAAAAACGACGAAATTCGTAAAGAAAGGTTTAATTTCGTTTACAGAGATAACTGTTATAATTTTTTCAATACTCGTTAATTCTTCCACCAAGTAACAATCTTTGTCAATTGTGTGTCGTCTCTTTTCCAAGACATTCTTGTCTAACAAAAAAACTACTGATAGAAGAAGCGATGTTTTGTTGCAGCTTCTACTAATTGCTCTCCCTTTTTCTTCGAGCATTTCGCCGACTCAACAGGAGAGGATAGGACAAGGAATAGAAAGGAAAGATCGCAAGTGGTCCATGGCCCGTTTGTTAGGGTACTGCTCCGGCATTATCCTGGTGTTGATCGGAGAAACCATGGAAAACTACCGATCAGAGCAGCTGGCCGCTAGAATTCTCCTCTAGACAGTGGCTGAATTCGACCTAGGATGGGACCTAATTGGCAGGATTTTAGTAATAGCATTTACAATAAAAATATAAATTATTGAGCAATACAGAATGTTGTTAATACAAGTTGACAAGGGGCTTCTGGGAAATCAACAGATAGGTCACGAGTTAAAATTTCAGAAAGCATATTTTCATCTGTAGAATATCTTGTATCACAAAATAGTTCTATTTGTGCGTTCTTATTTTTTCTGCTGAACACAACTTAAGAAACATTTATTTATTTAATACGTATTAATACTAAATAATTGTTTTTCACTTAAGAAATAAAGTAAGTTAAATTGTATACGGTTATTTGCTTGTATTCATTTGTTTTGTTGAGAATATTCAGTGACGTGTCTAAGAAACATCTTCTGTATTTTTTTGTTTTTTAAACAACTGAAATAATTTTTGGAATGGAGCTCTTCAATTACTTTCCTCTGCACTTCGTTTATTTGAGTGTTTTTCAAGTTTTCCAAGTGCTGAAGTGTTACTTTTGCAGCAGTTACAGTACTATAGCATTACGTAACATTTACCAATAATGCGAGAAAATCCGTCCTGTTGTATCACTTAAGGCCCCTTCACAATGCAAACATAAACAAGAGCATGGCGTTAACATAAAAGTTAGGACTCCGTCCATAAGCGGTCTCATTCACAATGCGTTCGCATAAGCTTAACACGTAAGACGTTAACTGCTTGCAAGCTTCTGTGCTTATGCTTAAGTAAGATGTAAGATATGATCCAATCACAGTACGTTAACTCAAAATCGAGAATCGAAATATGAGCGACGTCGATAGACTAACTAACGCCATATGGGCCATGGACATAGACGATTCCTCGAAATCGATTCTCACATCCCACCAATAGTAAACTAGAATGTCTCACAGCCAATAGAAACTCTTATTTTGCTTACGTTTATGACTTAGTGAATACTTCAGTCTATCACTTATGTTAATGTTTACGTCTATGCGTCATGCTGATGTTTACGTTTGCATTGTGAATGGGCCTTCATGGTTGCACTAGGCAACCCTCTTAAAGTTTATGCTTACCCGATTTCATCAGGCAAGAACTCCTGAATTGTCTTGTCAAATATTAGATGAAACGCGGAGAAGGAGGATAAAGGAAAGAAACATAAGACATAACATTAGGAGGAAAATAAAATTTCAAGATATGTAAATGACCTTAATGGAAGAAATGACAATGGAGAACAAATTTTATGTGAAGGGAAAATCACTATCTTCAATTTTGTAGTTGTAGGAAGACTCCGCAAAAAAATGAGCTGAAAGAAATGTGTTTATCGAAAACAGGCCTTTAAATAGTCACGTTCAATTTTTCAAAAACATGAATATTTTTCGCGAAATTTTGTGTTAAACATAGACAATTTTTATTTTCTTTAAATCATTTTTTCTTAAAAACCGCACATCATTTTTATTAAATTGAGACTTAAGATAGTATAAAGGACTCTTAAGAGAATGGAGGAGATCTTATGTTCGTTAAAATGCATAATTGTGCAAAAATAAAAATAAAAAAGTTAAAAAACTACAATTGTAAACGTACATTTTGTTCTTAATGAAATATGTTCATAAAATACAGATCTTCAAATAAGATCACGTTGAATTTTTTGAAAATATGATTTTTTAATGTAATTTTGCTACAAACATAATAGCCCGTTGCGAATTGATGGCGCTTCGTCTTCGGCGTCTTCTTACAACTACAATTGTGAAAATACTTTTTGTCTTAATAAATTGTGTCTATCAAATAATAGATCTTCAAATAAGGTCACTTCAATTTTTTGAAAATATGAGTAATTTTTGTGTATTTGGGCGACAAAAACAATATCCCGCTTCATATTTACTGCGCTTCGTGAACGTAATTCCAGACAGGTGGATGTTTCGTAAGTTAGACGTTGTATATTATTTCATATTTCTTTCTTGCATTCGACCTTTTGTTATACATTTACGCATTAATATTTTAGAAATTATTTACAAACCTGTTTGAAATATACAAAATACAATTTTTTAGCTCTTGGGAGTTACCCAAATACTGAATAGGGATAAAGAATTTTAGCGAAGTATTTAAATTTTAAATTTAAAGCATTTTGATCAACCCTGGTAATGAGTTTTTCAAAAAATTATAACTGAGATGTGTTAATTCGGAAAGAAATTGTGGTATAAATAGTATTACATATCTGTTACTTAAGGCGAGTAAGAACTTGCTGATTTAGCACTATTAGTTTTCATAATGTATGATGTTATTTTGCCTCTGACAAACAGCTAATCTCTCCTTAGATCCTATTCGCTCTCTAAAATTATTTCCTTTTTGTTGTTCCTTCTTCCGTTATAAATTGAAAAGGGAACACGTTTTGCATTGCTGTAGCCGATTCGAGTAATAAAAGATACCAAGCAAGGACCGTAACTGCAAAACTGTCCGAAATGTCCGTCCCGCCCCGTCTGTCCAAGCCATACTTGCCCAGTGGTAGCTGAAGTGTCCCTCTTACATATAATTCTACACAATGCAAAATAGTTTCTTAAGTGGCACTGCAAGTTGACAAAAAATTACAATGAACATGAAGCAAGGTTTGTAGTTGTCTGCTTATATCACGGCATGAAGCGTGGGCCAGGTCATCCTTTCTATCGATCGTGTGTGGACGGTAATTCATGGAACAGAATTAACAAAAGGATTTGAACTTTACATTGATGTACATGTATACTTATGATGTATACATTCTTCTGTATCATAGATATTAATTATAAAAACACAGGACTTTAAATGGAAAAATATTTATGGAATAAAATATATAAATGCGAGCTGTCGCAGTGTGCACAAAGCTTCTCAGCAAACAAAATACGCGGGTTTGGTTCACCAATTGGACCCAAGAGTGCTCTGTTTCAGTACACTTGTTGAGTACGCTACGCCGCTACTGGGAATTCAAATTCGTCAGCCAAGTACTTTACATGACATAGTTTGCGAAGAGGTTGCGAGGTTTGTACTGAAAACTAGCGTTCGGATTTAGAAGCACTGTTTCGTAAATTTAGTGAATTGTGCATGTTATTAAGTTTTGTGGGCTTTTTGATAATCGCACCGTATTGGTTAGTGTCGGGATTGAAATGTTAGAGTCACGAAATTGAACCAGGAAATTGGCACTAGCGGAGAGTGACACTACCCTTCATTAACTAGGAACTGCATTTCACTCTAATTGAAGTATACATTTTAATATTTCCTCACAACTCCTTCCTGATGTGATGTGAATGATTTTACTTGGGTAGCCTTATCTAGTGTGCACATTATTATCTCCCCATATCTTACTCAAATTATTTCAAGGATATACACCCAAATGTGGGTGTGGTACCAGTTTATGTAGTCCTTCCAAAAATTTTTGTATTAAAACACATGTCATTTGTAAGTTGATTTATTCTCAGAGCGTGTCTTTATTTGCCAGTTTCATATAATGTAAGAATTATTTTATTTGTGACTTCAATTTTCAGAATACAAACATGTCTCACTCCGGTGAAGCAAGATTTGATTCCCAAATGCAACAAGCTCAAGTTGAAGTACCATTACATCCAGTAAGTTATTTGTTTGTAATTCAAATTGGATTAATCAATTCTCTTTTATTAACACCGCAATTTTTCTAAGAGTTCAGCAGTTTTAAGTTTTACAGAATTTGTTAATGTTCTGAATCTGTGGACTTACATAATTATATTTAATTCATTTTTCTGTTCTTATGCTTGTTACTAACTAATATAAGTATTTGATTGAGCATTATATGTCAGGTCCTCAAGAGATTCATTTGGTACTATAACATTTATTCTTTTTATTCAATAATGTTTCTCTTTTTTTCTGCATTCCTCAAACTGGACTTACATTTCTGCCATTCATTTCTTCCAAACAGCGTAAGAAAGCAAAAGTAAGTATTTACAAAGAGCTGTGCATTGTGTTTGTGCAGGTGTCTGGTTTGTGTTTGGTGATGGTATTGGAAGACCCAGAGAACGCAATTGGCCAACATGTCTTTTTTCTCATATTGTTGCTTTAGTAGATAATTTCTAGTTGTTTTTTTTTAGATAGAATGCCAGTAGTTTGTCTCAAGTGATGTTAGTATTTGGATTCTATTTATCCCAGCATGTTGATACTCATGCTTGATCGACCATTGTTTTTGAGCTCCCGTCCATTAGGCTCGACATTTTCATTAGAATTAATTACTTTGTAGTTCTCTTTAAATGAAGCTCTATGTCTGTGTGTTTGTGCTGTCAACATTTTCTTTTTCTTATTTGGCTCTAGTAATGTTACAGTAGTATGTAGTTCTTATTTAAAATTTCTAGAGATTTGTCAAAATGATTGCTTTTTAAGTTTATTGTGCATGATTGAACTTCTCATCTGTTTTGTGTAATGCTAATGTGTATTGAAAGCATCATGAAAAGTATACATTTTAAGATTCCAGTTGACTGGCATTATGTAGATTTTCTACACTAGATGTAATTGCATGTTGAAAATTATGCTGTTTATTGGTTTTACAGAAAGAATATTAACATTCTTTTGAAGAGCAGCTTAACTCTATTTTGTTTATTGTATATGACAAAGGGTTTCTTATTAGTAGTTGAAACATTTACATATGATGTCTTTCCTTTTTTTTGTGTATTGTAATCATTCACAATTTAAAATTAAATACAATTTTTTGTGAACTTTGTGCATTATATTGCTTTTAAGTTTTCTTTCTGAACAAGATAAGTTTAATATAGAATTGCACTAATTGGAATTCAAATCACATTTCCGAGTTGTAAACATATGAAAATTCTCTTTTAGTTTTTGTTTGCTTATGGGTTTAGGTGCTTTTTGTGTTGTAGTTCAGTTTTGTGAGAAATCATTGGTTGAAATTTGTTTTTAAAATGAGTATTTACCTCTTTCAGCACTGGCAAGAAATCTTCAGGAAATACGATTTGGATAATGATGGGAGAATATCATTAACTGAGCTTCGAGCTATGATATTGAGTGAATCTTATGAGAATGATATCCCTGAACACACTGTTCGAATGATTATGCAAAAAGCTGATGAAGATCAGAGTGGATACTTGGATATGAGAGAATTTGAAAAGATGGTTAGTTAAATCCTTTTTTACCTCATTATTTTGTCATGGTTGAATTTGGTTCCTTATTTGGGTTGATATTTTTAATATTCACGCTCAATGTTTGGGTAAGTATACAAAAGTTGTTATTTTCTTTATTACATTATTTTTTTTTCTTTTCATTCTTGCATTTTCATTAACAACGTTTACAGTATTGGATGTACATATTTGAAAAATATGACATTGACAGAGATGGAAGAATAAATGTTAAAGAATTAAAAACACTACTCCGCGAACATGGGGATGACGAAATTCCTCATGATATTGTTGTACGCTTGCTGAATTTGGGTGACAAGGATCAAGATAATTTCCTGAACTTTGATGAATTTCATAAATTGGTGTGTGAGAGAAAATTCTGTGTTCTGAATGTTATTTACGTGCATTTATAAATGTGTGTATGTATGTCTTGATTTCATTCGTGGATCTGTTTCGTTATCTGTGTCTTGTGTTTTCAGCTCTGTTGACTTTTTCAATCCTTTTAATTCATAAATTAATTTTTTGTTTCTACAGGATTTTGTACTGAATATTATCCCTTACCATATGTAGTGTGTGATGTTTCTCAAGGAGAATGTAATGTCGGTTTATTGTCTCTGTAGGTGTACTTGCTATATTTGTTTGGTTTTGGGTTTCTATTTGTGTATACATTAAATCACATAGTTTAAAATATATAATTTTAATATTTATACATACTTCTGTTTTATGTAGTTATATAAACAAAGATTATCTTACCTTTAGTTTCAAAGTTTCATACCAATTGTTTCAAAGTAACCATAATTCTTTTTTCTTATCTATTGAATAAATAATTTATTACTTGCCTTGCCCAATGATTAACTGCAACTCTAATTCTTTTTGAAATCTTCTCAACTTTGAAGATAAAAATATGATGGGTGTGTGAACACAGTCTTTCATCTTCAGGTTCATACAAAAGAGTTTCGAAGTCTTATGGGTCATATGGTGAGTGCATATATTCGTTCAACCATAGTTCCTCGGAAACATGCTAGGGGACCCACTGATGTTCTCGATGCTCGAGGAGATTATGAGGATGAATATTCCTGCAGTCCGCCTTCCGTTTGTATGCTTGTAATCAGCGTTATTGAGGTTTGTGAATTCTGGTCCTTTTTCTTGAAGAAACTCATTATACATCGGCAGTTATTTTAATATGATTTCACATATCAGATCGTCACTTATATGTGGGATGTGATCAAAGATGGCAATCACGCAGCTAGTGGGCCTGCTGCAACAATTTTCATTTATGATCCTCAGAAGCGCTATGAAGTTTGGAGATACGCTACTTATATGTTTGTGCATGTTGGGTGAGTACTTACTTTTAAAATTCAGGGCATCAAGCCATCAAGACAATAATTACCTTACTTTAACCAGTACCCTTTGGCTAATGTCAACATTAACTAAAATATCTAATGTTGGAAATGATCTGTTCTTCATTTATATAGTTTTGATTGTAGTTAATGTGTGAAGTCACAAGCTAATTCATGAATCACCCATATTTCGGGCTTAAGTTCTAATATGTCCATTAAAATATTTTTTGTAATTGTATTTTCTGTGTAAAGTGGAAGCAAATGTATAACTCTTGAGAGGAACCTCTAGTCAAGTACTATTTTCAGTTCATGCTCAAATAGTAGTTTGTGTTTAACATACCACTGTTTGTAGTAAACAAAAAATATGCTGAATTCTGATCATTTCCAAGTCCTATAGGACGCCCTGCTTTCTCTGATAAATAAATCAAGAAAGTAGTGAAAGGAGAGAACCTTGTTTTGTGTTAATTCACGAAATATTCATTTTTTGGCTTGATGTTCTGAATGTTAAATGGTTTTGTGTGTAGTAAAATTTCAATAATAATTATTATTATTATTATATTTTTTTTTAGTGTCATGCACATAACAGTAAATTTACTGGTTCAAGTATTGCTGGGAACACCTCTTGAAATGGTGCATCGCTGGTGGCGTGTTCTTATTATATATTTTGCTGGAGTTTTAGCTGGGTCTCTTGGAACTTCTATATCTGACCCTAAAGTATATTTAGCTGGAGCATCTGGTGGTGTTTATGCTCTTATTACAGCTCATGTGTCATCAATTGTGATGGTAGGATTGGGCATAATTAAATTATAAATTTACAATAAAATATTTTAAGATTTTAACCGATACAATATTTATTGCAGAATTGGTCAGAAATGCGATTTGCTCTTCTGCAACTGGTTGTGTTTTTTATATTAACTGCGAGTGACATAGGCACAGCGATATACAACAGGTACATTTTAGAAGATGGACAACGAGATCGTGTAAGCATTAGAATATTTTACAAAATGCTCAGGGTAAATAAATGGTTAGCACTGGACATGCAGTTTTTGAAAGAGAGGGGTGAAAAAATCTATTGAACTTCAGAATTTTTTGCATGTGAAATTGCAAAATTTAACCATCATGGTCTAAATTTCATAGGTGGGGGGAAAATGGTTAAACTTGTAATGTTCCAAATTAGAGTTTAGATTTAAATTTATTTTGTGTCATTAGTTTCATAATTAATCATTATAATGTATAGAATTCCATGGTTTTTAATTGTTTTTAAATTAACCATATAAGGCATTCAACATTTTGCCTGAACATTTCAAATTATTGGTACTATACAACATTTTGTTTTTAAAATCAAGCAGGAAAATATTATTTTTGGAAAATGGCTTTTGTAAGAAGGTGTGTTCTTATTAACATCTATTGATGTTAAAATATCATAAATTATGTGGGTTACACATTTTGCAGTTTCACAAGCGTTTTGCTGTTAAGAAGTTCATGTTTTGACTACTTAAGGGATTTTAGAACTTCTAGTCTTTCTTTGAATTTAGTTAAAGGGACTGCTTTCAATGGGAAATTAAGTCCAAGAATAAGTGCATCATATTTTATTTCATATTTTGTAACTATTTTATTTCCTGGAGCTTCATATTTATATTACACTGCTTTCTATTTTATTCTACTTTAAAATAATGTACTTCATTTTCAGATTGGATATGCAGCACATTTAGCAGGAGCTTTAGCAGGATTACTTGTTGGCATTAATGTACTCCGTAATCTGCAAGTAAAACGGTGGGAGAAAGTAATGTGGTGGATTTCATTGATTACTTACTGTGCTTTAATGCTTGCAGCTATAATATGGAACATAGCGTTTCCTGAGTATTTCTCTTGAACCTAACCAGTTTTTACAAGATAATTTGCAGCATAAGCATGCTGATATTTCATGTATTGATTTGTAAATATGTGAAAATATAGTGTGTGATTGTATTTTCAAAAGAATGAGAGAATGGAAATTTTGCGTGGTGAATTGTTTGCACATATTACAACCAGCTTTAGTAGAACTTGTTTTCAATGGAAAGCTGGATTATTTGAGATTGTTATGTAGTAATGATTATGAAATGTATTGTAAATACATTCACTTAATTAGTTTTAAATTAACTAGCACAACACTTCCAATACCCCAATTAATTCAGTATTTTTGTATTTAATATTAGGCATTGCAATACTGTTATGAAGTAAGACCAAAATGGTTGTTCAGTTATCAAGTTATAATTTACCATCAAGAAAAATTTCCTATATTTATAGTTTGGTAAGAATTTGAAATATTTTGTTCACCACATGTCAGAGATAACACACAAATGTTTCACGTGGCATTTTATATAAACAAAATGAATTATGCGAAATACTACCTAAACAAAAATTATGATATGATATTCAAACTTAATATAGTATTCAGTGAATATTCATTAGCTCGTATTAAAGTAATTTAATGTCTGCTGTGAATGTGTTTGAATAAGGATGAGCATCCTTTGATATGTTCTCATCATTATACCATGCGGGTACATTTATGCTTAACCATACGAATATACAGATTGATGGTATGTCAAGTCCTGATCATGTCATTCAGAACATCAGCTCAAGAAATGCTGTTGGACCTCTGTTTATTGAAGTTCTTTATGCATCTCCCCCCTGCCATTTATTTATTTTTTTTATTTTATTTTATTATTATTAAAAAATCAAGTAGAATATAGATCTTCTTGTAATGAGTTGGATTTATGTGTTGATAATGCTAATCTTATTCTCATTTCAATTTCATGCTAAAATAATAACTAAACACGAATTTTTTTGATGAATATAAATAAAAATATGTTCAATAAGATTATTGAATTCACTTTACTCATTGGTGTAATGTGAAGAAATTACTTAGCCACTATGTAAATTCTTAGTTTTGATTTACATGTGTGCGTAAATTGTTTAATGACTTCTTTTAATATTCATAATTTATACTTAAACTTTTTGTCTTTTAAAGGGGAAATAACTTTTGTATCCAGTGTTACAAGTTTCAAATTTAATTAAAGAATCAAATTTTGGTATATGAGAGTCCAGCAGTAGAATATTTAAGTAAATGCTCAAGTAAATTAAAAGTCCTTAAATCTTAATGATATTCTGCTTCTGATGCTCTTGTAGTATTATACTAACTGGCAACACAATTTAATATACAAATGAGTCTATTTATTTTGAACTTTTTTATTAGTCAATGTACTTGCATTTAATATGTTTAGAGAATATTGTATTTTAATTTATAAGCTTATAAATGGTCACAATATAGATAATTTAGTATTATTCTTGTACTTGGATGAATCATCTCAGTTTAAGCAACAAAGATTTGTTTTTTATAAGCCAAGTTTTGAACACTACATCACGAATATTTACATTTGTACCATCAGGGGGAAAACTATTGATTTCTAATCAATTTTAATTAAATTTTTGTATTTTACCAACTTTATCAGTAACTTAAATTAAAAGTTGTATAATATAAGTATTCTCTGTTCAATTTTAGAAGTACAGATATAAGAGGAGAAAATTGATTTTATTTTTTTGCACTTGTAAAGGAAATTTTGTTAATTTTAAATGTCTAAAAACATTAGTGTTTTACTAATGACATTTTTATTCTATTCTATTTGGTTTGGGCATTCTATTTCATGAACACAAAAAGTTTTGAGAGAACAGAAAAGCAGAAAATAAATTAAGAAATCAGTTACTGAGGTTTTACAGCATGACTTCATTTTTGTGAGAAATTTTAATGGAAATAGCATTTAAATAAAACCTATTTCTTCTCTGTGTGGTTATTAAATTTTATATTTTTATGTATATATTAAGGAAAATAAGAGTCTTGGGCAGCTGTAATAATGCTGCATGGTTCTGTCGCATTGTTTTTCTTCGCAATTGCTACTCATAACTACTGTGCAGACTCTCAATTACGTCCATTGATAGATATAGTATTATTGTTTGAAATAGGTGAGGGGTTGCCTGTATCTCTGTGATTGTATAAATTTGTCATAGTACAAATTTGCTTTGTTAGCTTCGTATATATATATATTTATAATTGTATTCGATTGATAATGCGCAAATAGGTATTATTTAAAATTGAAAGATTACCTTTTCCCGCTGTAAGTGTTCAAATAGCCTTCCTGCCCAAAACACACACACCCCGCAAAAAAAAAACAAACAAACCGGAAATACACCATCCTGGGCTTAATTATGCAACAGTTATGCTAATTATTTTTCCTACAATTACAGTTTATTAATGGCTTTTCAATGCTTAATGTACATTGATATATGTGTAAATTAAAATTTATGCAATTATAGCAATAAATTTAAACAATAATCCTTGTAAATAAATTATAGCAGGATTGATTAACAGCATAATTGTTGTGCATTCTTAATATGTACAACAAATTCAGCACAAAAACTATTTTATATAATACTGACTTTTGCTAAATTTCCAGTTTACTTATATAAATGTTTTCACATATTCTCTGTATTCTTCCGCACTTCACTGTATATAGTATATTGTAATTGCATAAAAATGAATTGACAAGGTACTATGGGCAATAACTGAGCCAAAAGGGTGATGCAGCTCCGGAACATGGGCAGGAAAGGATTAATTGGTATGAAGTAAATAATTGTTACTAAGGGCCCCTGCACAAGAGTATTGCAATGACAATGTGTCATAGAATAACATTATGTCTTATGTGAAATGGCACATGAGCGCTTTTGGCCACTTCACATAAGATACAATGTTCATTTACGATGTGTGTCAACATAATGCTTGTGTGACACAGACCTAAGGAAGATTACTAAATGCTTATACTTTCACTAAAGCAGACAATTTTTTCTGTTGTGAAGATATTAATATTTTTTAATTTCAAGTTTTTTTTTTAAATTCTTGCTTGACTGTTTTGTGTAACATTTTGTATATTTTATATGTAATTTATTAACTTTTTGACAGGTGAAGTGCCTCTAAAAGAAAGTCCTTGCATTTTATAGTCTTAAGGAAAGTAGGAATAGACTGCTGGCAGTAAACTACAGAACTGTTGTGAATTTGCCTTGAAACTGTGTGGTTCACAGAATTAATTTGAAAATGTCTACAAAAAACAATATTTTATTATTCCACAGAAGTTGTTCTGTATTGCACTGCCAGGGCTGGGTGTAGGTGCTGTTGGGCATCCAAAAACATACCCATGTTTCTCCCCCTCCCAAAAAATTTCTTCAGAATTAGAAAGAAAAAACAAAAACCATTAATTTGCAAAAAATTAATGTGTGCTTACTTTAATTTATCGATTATTAAAAAAATAATTTGTAAGTTTTACAATGGCGGCTCTTGGGCATCAGTTTATTTTGCTATTAGGCCAATCCAGCCCTGAGCACTGCACTGTAATGTGTTTTATATACTGTGCATTCTTTCAGAACTTCCAGTATTTTTGTATCTTTTCATAATTGTGCCATTTAGTAAAAGAAGTTTTAATACCTGGAGGTTGAAAAGATCATACATTTTATCATATAACTTTTGTCTTTATTGAATGAACACATGAACATTTTGAAAAATACTTCGGGGTTAGATTAGGTTAAAATTTAACGATATTAGATAAAAACCTAACGACAAAACATTCAGAAGGTTCCTATGTGTATTCCCTTGTTCCTTTAAGAGACATTGAAATACAAAATGTTTACAAAGACCTTAATATGAAGTATTATAGACTAAATGTAGTAAGTTTCCATTCTTATTTTATTTTTGTCCCAAAATTTAATTTAATTATGACTTGTGTTAAATTGTGTCAATGGAATTGAAAGTATATAAACTATTGTTTATCCAAAAGGAAATGTGTCTTTGTTTGTAAAAATCGTTTGTCAAAAATATGAGTGTAGATTGTAAGTATCAATTATATTGTAAAGCGTATATCTACTTGGTTTTGAATGTTATTTTTTTAATAAAATGGAAAAATAGTTGAGTGTTTTATTGTACAAAGATTCATTTTTGGAAATCCTCTTTCCTATGGTAATTTTTTTGTCTAGTTTTTATTTTATTAACAGAGAGAATTTTAGTAACTTATGCCTTTAAAATTAAAGCAAAGCACTCAAATTTAGCATAAAAGAAGCTCCAGCCACCTATGGTTTCGAACTTGGAATCTTTTTCAATGTATTCCAAAATAATATTCATAAAATTTGTAATTGTATTCAGTATATTGAATTATATTTAAAATTTAATTTATTTTTGATTCATTAACAGATGGCTTCAAGGGAATTTCGAAGTCTCATGGGTCACATGTTGAGTGCATATGTTCATTCTGTGGTTGTTCCAAGAAAATCAAGCGAGTATGAAGCAGTTGATGATGTTCCAATATATGAGGAAGAATATTCATGTAGACCACCTACTTTTTTCATGGTCATCATTAGTTTAACAGAGGTGTGTGTAACCTTGAGACTCATTTATTTGGTAGCATGAAGTTAGAGACCATATAAATGATTACTATGAATTGCTGCAGATTATCATCTATCTTTGTGATGTGTACACCGCTGAAGATGGTAATGCAGGTGTAGCAACACATTTATTTACTTATGATCCACAGAAACGAATAGAAATTTGGAGATTTATTTCATACATGTTTGTACATAATGGGTAAGACAGATTGATATATCTATTTATATGTACCAAAATTACTTTACTGTCTTCTTGAAGAAAACTAATTTTTCTTCTTTTTCATCTTCAGAGTTCTACATGTTGTGGGAAATTTATTGGTTCAAATCTTATTAGGTATTCCTCTGGAAATGGTTCATAAATGGTGGCGAGTGCTTCTCATATACTTTGCAGGAGGGTTAGCCGGTTCTCTTGGCACATCAATTACTGATCCCAAAACAAAACTTGTTGGAGCTTCCGGAGGTGTATATGCTCTTATATCTGCCCATATTGCTTCAATTATTATGGTATGAAAAACTTACATTTTGTAATTTGTTTTGTGACTGTTGTTGGAAATAATGTAATTTTGTTTTTATAGAATTGGTCTGAAATGAGGTTTGCTCCTTTACAACTTGTTGTCATGTTTATATGGATTGGCTGTGACATCACCATTGCTGTTTACAAACGTTATGTTCCAGAGGCTAGTGATTCGGTAATAATGCACATATATTAATAATGATGGATATTGAGTATGGACTTGCTCATTCCTTGCTGATACTTACTAATTATGAATGTCTTTACAGTCTTCTTATGACTGTTTTCTGCACTTTGTGAAATACGGGAATAACAGAATGTTTTTCTGTGCATTCCTATTCCGATCCATTGAGATACAAATATTTTGATACCTGCTGCTTGGCATATGCTTGAAAATTTGCTGCATGGTGTATGCTGAATGCTGTAGCACCTTTGTAACTGCATGATTTTTGGACAACTTCAAGAGAAAAATCTGCTTTTTCTATTCTAATGATACAGAGATTTTGGAAAAATATCTACACAATTACAAATTAATTTACGAGTATGTACATAATATGTAATTTAGCATTTTAATGACGGATACTCGAATACTTTTTTCACTAATATACTGAAGTTCTTGCATCTGTGATTGCAGGTTGGATATGTTGCACATTTGGCTGGGGCATTAGCAGGATTACTGGTTGGAATTAATGTTCTTCGAAACCTACGAGTTAAAAAGTGGGAAAACATTGTGTGGTGGATTGCTATTGTTACCTATTGTTCCCTTATGCTTGGGGCCATAATTTATAATATTGTTTCATGATTTGTTGTCATTGTATTTCCTTTGGAAAAAATGTTTTTGATGTTTGGGACACTTGTGTAGAAGTTCATCCAGTTCAAGAATTGTTTCATTGAGCGAAATGCAAGATTGAGGAAATTAGCATTGAAAAAACAAAATAGATTTATTTTATGTAAATATTTCTAAGCAGAGATAATGTAAATTAAAATTGCAAAATTATTAATATTAATGATGTGTAGATTGTTTTTGCTCAATAGAGTATTTGTGTTATTTATAAAAACTAAACTATTTTCTTCCTCTTCAGAGGCCAACTTCAATGAGACTGTACCCTTTGCCCCACCTGGCATTTCGTCCATTTTTTATCGTCCTTAACTAGGGTCATGGTGGCATCCTCCACTCCCTCATCATTTCCCCTCTCTCTTTAGTTCACCAGCCTGGGGCCATATCTATCAATAACCTGTTGAGGTACCGTGGCCCTTCTCAGCGAGTTCCTTAGATATCATGCCTAAATGCCGCTGAGATCATTGGATTCTTAGTGGAATGATAGTTAATGATATGGTAGGATAGGGAATGATTAATGAAGCATACCACTGGAATGCATGATGGGAGGGGAAATGGGAGTACCTTGAGAAAACCTGTAAATCAACTTTCAAATTACACATGGAACCACTGGATTGAACCTTAGCACCAGCATTGGATGGCTTGTTGACTGACCATCATACCAAGGGCTCCTTTTTGTGTTATTTATTTAACAAAGGATTTAAAAAGATATTATTTCATGAAGGAAAGGGGATAAATCCTAAGCACATAAGTGCAAGGAACATACGAATTTACCCTAACAAATAAAGCTCTGTTATGCCAGTGTCAAATAAAACAATTTATTTTTAAACATTTGTCTGATTTTTCTAGTTTTAAAAATACTTATACTTGTGTAGAGAAAGACATGTTGTACATGCATATTGTCAGTATAAGACAGTATATTAGTGTGGTTGATAATATTGCTTTTGAGAAAGCAGGTGATTTCACACAAGGTATTTGAAACTATCCAAAAAGATTCTGAGAAAGATTTATCTGTTTCTTCAGTTATTTTAAAAGGAGAATTTGTAAGACCAAAATAATTGCTTAAGAAATTGAATCTACAACTTCTAGTACAATTCTGGGACCCATTACTTTGACACTGCTTTTTTACCTACATGAAACAGATTTTACTAGTAAATAAATAAATCTTCAGTATGGAGAAAGAAATTATAACTTTAATTATGCAATTGATTTTACGTTGAATGTTTGTGAGGTTGCCTGATTGTTTGGAGAGCCTCTTTAGTAAATAATGTAAAACTGT